CGTGAATTCATCAGAAAGCAAAGCAAAATCTCAAAGGCTCCAATTATTATATAAATGAGCAATTTCCGCCAGAAATAATTGAGAAAAGAAAAAAACTAATACCACAAATGAAAGCAGCCCACAAGAGAAACAAGAAGGCCTGGATATCATACGACACATTATATATTGACGGAGTGCCAGTGAGGGATAACTAGGGAAGTGCGGAAAATGGAATTAGTGTGTTAGTCTGGAACTGTAATTGGATTTGACTAGTGAAAAGTTGTGCGATGACTCATTTTTGAATAAATTATTTGCTAATTATATAATATTTATGATTGAATATTGGGGACCAGTATAAATAGCCAGATTGAGTTACCAAAAGTAAATCATTGTTTTTAATTTATTTCAGGAAATTTAGACATAGGAATGCTAAAAGATGTAGTGGTGGAATAGTTATATACATAAAAATCAGATATTGTTCCAGGTATAGAAATAGTGAAAAATCATTTTGACAGTATACTATGGTTGAAGTTAGATAAAATATTTTTTCAATCTCATCTGATATTTATTTATGCTGGTTTATACTATGGACTGATGATAGTCCTGCAGCTAAAGTTTACAATGTTAATTTATTTGATTTACTACAAAATGATATATATGAATACGAGCAGTTAGGCAGAGTGTTATTAGCAGGCGATAATAATGCTACAGTAGGCTTAAACCCAGACTATATTGTATGTGATAGTTTTGTACCAAATATTGACCCTGAAAGTTATTGTCCTGACCGAATCATTAGCCGGGCCTCAAAGGACAAAACATGTAATTCACGCGGCAGTCAATTACTTGATCTATGTAAGGCTACTACATTTAGAAATAGTAAATGGTCGTCTTGGTAGTGATTTCAACTCAGGTGAATTCACGTACTTGAATAACAAATCATGTAGTACAATTGACTACTTATTAGTGCGCGAAAAAGATTTTTCCATAATCCACGATTTTACCGTTGACAATTTTCAGTATTTTCAGTGATCATGCATCATTGCGTTTTTAAATATGTTGTGATCGTATACGTGATTTAAGTCAATCTGATACAAATTTGATCTTTACGTATTTCAAATGGAATGCCGACCATGAGAAAAACTTTAGATGCAGTTTAATTGCCAAGTTGCCCGATTTGTAACGAGTTATTATTAAATCATGGCAATCGTTGATTTGATTTCTGTTGACAATATAGTCAATAAATTTACTGGTATTATTTCGTGAGATAGCAGACCCATTATTTAAGGAAACCCGAAAAAAATTGTAATATACCGACTATTGATGATAATAACAAAAACTTGGTTTTGACCATTGAATGTCGATCATTAAGATCTATTTACGAGGGCGGCACTTAATAAGTTTAATGGGAATAAAACTCAAGAAAATCACATTGAACTGAATAATGCAAAAATATGCATATAAACAATTAATAAGAAAAAGAAAAAAAATTTACATTATCAAAAAATGTCTAAACAATTAACAGAATTAAAGCATGGCGCGACCCCGTGACTTCTGGCGATTTATTTAGAAAACACGATAATAACAAGACTGACTTTATCTAATGATGATTTCAAACAGTATTTTTCGTCAATGTTTGAAGATATTCAGGTACAATGTATCGATGAAGTTGTAATTTTTTTGTCAACAGACGAAATTAATATTAGTTCTGATGATGATGTATCTAAACGATTAAATGAGCGTATATCTATTACAGAAGTACGCGAAGGAATTATGCGTTTAAAGCGTAACAAAGCTTCATGTCCAGCTGACAATTTACTAAATGAATATTTTTTTAAATGCAGCTGACATTTAGACGGCATTTAGCGGATTTATTTAACATTGTTTTTGATTCAGGTGTTTTTCCAGAGAAATGGGCCGAAGGTTTCATTATACCGCTACATAAAAAAGGTGATGTGAATAACGTCAATAAGATGCGCGAGTCGTTAAGTGGTGTGAGAGTCAAAAAAATTACCAGATGCGCAATTCGGTTTTAAGAAAAAAATCATAGTACCGTATATGCAATCTTTGTACTGCAGAATTTAATAGAGCAAAGCTTGAACGACAAAAAAAACGTCTGTATTTGTGCTTTCGTTGATCTGAAAAAAGCATTTGATTCGGTGAACGTGACGCCGTTGTGGTTTAAACTGTACACAAAAAAGGATTAAAATGGTAAAATTTTAACAATGTTTAGAAACATGTACAAATATTGTAAGTCTAGTATAAAATTTAATAATGAATTTTCTGATTTTGTTGAAAGCGCGGTGGCTTACGTCAGGGGCAGACAAATCGCCGACATTTTTTCCCCTTATTTATTGAAGACATCGAATCGTTTTATTTGCAGCAAGATAATACAACTGGCCTAAAACCATTAATGAAATGGCCTAACCATTAATGAAATTTGTCTCTAATTTTGTTTATTTGCGGATGATATGGTAATAATTGTGGCGATTCTGTAGAAGATTTACAATCGAGACTGAATTCTTTACGCGAATATTGTGAAAAATGGGGGTTAGAGGTAAACACTGCAAAAACCAAAGTTGTTGTTTTTAGGAAACGAGGGCCAGTTAAAAGAAATGAACATTTCATTTATAATGATGAACAGTTAGAAATTGTTGATGATTTTCAATTATTTGGGAATAACGTTGAATTACACTGGTACTTTCGCTTTAAAATATAAAGATGTCTAAAAGCCAAAGCACTTAGGACGAATGCATCACATTGTTAAATAATATCAAAAGATATAACATTCGTCCGATATTTCATTGCAACTTTTATGCATTCGTAGGATCGATATTAAATTATGGTTGTCCTATTTGGGGGTTTACTAAGTTTGTGAATTAGAGCGTATTCATCTACAGGTTTTGCCAAAACAATCCTTGGTTGTAAAACAATCGACAAGTAACGCAGCTATATATGCAGAATTGGGTCGCTATCCTTTATATGTATTTCGTTTTGTACATATTATTAAATACCTGGGTCAAGATTATCAATACGGATACTATGCTATTAAAATCAGTTAATGCACATTCAATTGGCGCAAGTATTATAATGGTAGAAAGAATTGGGTTTTCCATGTTAAAAAACTGCTTGATGTATGGTTTTTAGCTCTGTTTTGTAAATCATGAAACATAAATTTCAAATTATTTGTAAATTTGTTTCAAGAAAACAGTAACGGATTGTGCCTTACAGAAACTATTTGGAGATATTGGAGAAAATGAAATACTGAAATCCTTGTACATACATTTAAAACCGAGCTTTGGTATATCGGATTACTTGATTAAAATAAATTTCGTTTAAAATACGTAATAGCATAACTAGATTTGCGCGTGTCGTCGCATAATTTATTTATAGAATCTCTTAGACATGGGCGTAATCGAAAACCCAAGAAATGAAAGATTATGTTATTTCTGCGGTAAATGACATAGAAGATGAATTTCATTTTATAATCACATGCAAAAAAAATTCTGACCTGAGAAACAAATTCATACCAAAATATTATGTGAAAAATCCGAGCATGTACAAATTATTGATTTATTAAGTTCTAAAAAGAAAAAAATCTTGTTAAATTTGGGAAATTTTATAGCAAACAAGCATTTAAACGCAGGAATTAAATCAACCGAATCTTCAGACATAATTATAAAAATGTTATCTTGTCAGTAATATTACCTTATTCTTTTCATTCTCCATGTTTTGTTAATGCAGTCCAAAGATGTAGTTTTATCATTGTATGACACTTTGCTACTAAATAATGTTAACTTTGATGATTACGTGGTGTTTAATTATATTTGAATGTATGTATTTTGTGACCATGTGCATTTTGTACACGTCTTATATGAATAAACTATCTATCTATCTATAATATTCTTTAATCAATCAATTCCTTGTTTTCAATTGTAACTGTTTTTTCTTAACAAACAAAGAAGAATAACACTCTTGCCTTGTAATTACAGGCAAATATAAAATGTTTGATTAGAGAGTGCAATTTTTCCTTCTTTATATCGTATACAGTCTTTATCAGCTTATAAGAACAATCTTTCTCACGTGACAATAGACATTTTCTAAATTCCCCACCTAAACGTTCCATAAATGGATAGGTAGTGTCCCATGTTTAATACTGAAAAGAAAACACATACACTTGGTGTGTGGACCTAAAAACGCCTTTAAAATCTAAATAAAACGTATATTTGTCAATCCCAGCACATGTGCTGATCATATTTATCAAAAATACTTAGTACGAGTCGTACAAGCCGTTTTGATAAAAAAACATCATATTTCAACGTCTATAATTATACACTAAAAAAAATGTTCGCTGTACTGGAAAAAAATCAGCATATCACCATGTATTTTTTTCCATTTCCAATAATTTCACCATCAACATAGAAGATATTATTTTCCACGATGATGATCAATTTTAAACTTTAACATCAATATAAACAACGCAACAGTCGAAATAAACATCAAGATTATCGCCGTTTTACTCCACTTACAAAAACGTTTGATAAATACACGATTGGCTGCCCAGCTTTGCCGTAGTCAAATGCGCAGCGCTTCAAATGAAGATGAGAGCCACCTGGCTATAATCAAAGCCATTCGGTAATATGTTGGTTCCCATATTCAGAATATCTTTTATATTTGATGGGGAACAGTAAGAGAATATCTTTATTTTTGGCGGGGAAAAGTTGACAGTGTGATCAGATAAAAAAAAGACAAACAAGATTTTAGAAGAATATTATAATTATTTTATTTCTCGACTTCTACATTCAAAAAATACATCATAGAGGAGTAGTTTTTGATAAGTTTTATTTTCTGTATACAACAGCAAAACAATTGACTTTTGTGTACAAGTAACAAACACAAAGTGCACTCTTCAAAGTTTCTGTTTTATTTAGCGTCAGTTATCAACATAACTGCCATACATTCAGAAATAGACGAAAGAAATTTATCTTTCTCAACGTTATGGTTTTGAATATATTATAACAAACCTGCAACTTGTATGCCAAAAGAATCTGAGCACGAACAAACATTCCATAGAAAATCTGTTCTTTCCAGTACTGCTCAGTCTGAAATGTCATCTTCTTTTTCTTCTTCTTCATAGCTCAGGAATTTCGTAATTGTTCAGAACTTTATCAAATAGAAACCCCTGCTTCAGAACAGCATACTTCAGAGCTTCATCAGCCTGATAGTCTTCTGTTTCAATGAGTTGATTGACAGTGTTCTTTATAGACATAAAGATGGGGTCTTTCTTCATAACATTAAACCAATGCACTTTACTACCAAATGTGTTCATAATGGATTTTCTGTAAGTGTTTTTCATATTTAAGAAAACATTTTCTCTTGCTTCATTTTCGCTGATATCACTATCTTCGTCCATCATTTCACTGACTTTAGTTTCAAACCGAGATTGACACTCTGTAAAAACTTCCTCGGAAGTCGTAGACATTTCATAGTCGCTGTCATTGTATTCGTTCTTAGTATCCGACTCCAACGGAAAAACTTGTATGGAACTCTCTAACATCGTATCTTCGTCCGAATCCATATTGGTATGTGTAGATCTTTTATGACGCAACATAATGTCCCGTCTCCCAAATCCTGTAAAACGAATATCATCTTTTATGACTCTAAACCGCCCGAAACTTCATGATTTATAAACAATTTATAATAAAAAGCTGAAAGACACCAATCACATTCATGTTTATTTCAATCAAATAAATAAAATTTTGGAATCGGAAAATAGTGATAAGATATATCTTCATAGCTACATTTGTATATCTTACTTGTTTGACTTTTTGTACCACTTTGTCTGACAATTATTTAACAAATTTTTATATCTTATATAATTCATGTTCAAAGTATACGATTTCTCTATGTCCTAAACGATAGAGGTACGTTACCTTTAAAACAAATATAACATTGATACATGGTTTTCCAACTTCTAACTTATGAATTTCTAGATTATGAATGAGGAGGAGTGACGTGAGGAGGTAATTTATACGCTTTGTTTGTTTCCCATATTCAACTTGTATGGCTTAGTTTTGTTTTCTGTACATGCTTTCTGTCGTCGAATTTTCTTGTTTCCTGACTTCTGACTGGAACATTGACGCTGCCGTTTTTTACTGGCATCCTTCATTTGTTGCAGTTCCGTTTCTATTAATGACACTATAGGTTTTGACTGATTTTTTATTATGCTCTTTGCTATGGCTACCATCTGCGCCCTTGGAAGCGCCATCCGTATATACATTTCGGATCAAGGACTATGGTAGTGGTAGTGTTGGTAGTTTTCATTCCAAATCACGACAGTAAGCCACATTTAATTCACCAGAGCACAGTTCAACCACCGCATCGTTCCTGGGCAGGCTGTCAAACAGTTTACCAGTACTAGTTACCTTCACTTTCGCTAGGAATCGAAACTTCTATTCATGCCAGAGCAGAGGTACAGTGCGAATGACCATTGAAAGGATTTCATGATCAATCACAACGAAAGTGACCTGAGCCGTCCGGGAATCGCCCGATTCACAGTCCAACGCTCTACCTATTGAGCGAATCGGACGGATGTCGAGGACTTTGTCGGGAGGTACTGGTTTTTATCCTTCTCCTTAATTTACTTTTAGGTACATGTGTATATCAAACAAATCCATCCCTATTAATGTTTTGGATGAACGTCTTAACATGTTGAAAACTAAGTATATACTAAGTTTAATAATTGTTAGTTATTTATTTTAAAACTTTTTATGAGATGATAAAATGCTTCATTACAATTAAAAGTGATTTCGCAAATTCATCGACCATCATATTAAAATCAGAGACGAGAGACAAGTTACCAGCGCAAACTATACATAATGCTACTCGGGTGTCCTGGTGGTGTTAAAAGCATTTCTCGGTGTTTTTATGTACGTTTCATTGTTCGTTATAATTATTTTAGGTGCATTGTTTTGAGGCATTCCTTATTACTTTTGAAACACTCCTCATTGCTTTCGAGACACTCCTTGTTGCGTTTGGGGCACCCTTCATAGCATAGCTTTCGAGGCTCTCCTAATTGTCTTTGAGACACGTTTTATTGATTTTTGAGGCAGTCCTCATTGTTTTTGGGGCACTCCTTATTGATTTTTGATATTGCTCGCGGTCTTAAATTTATATCTGCTTTGTTTTTTGTAAAGCATACGCATCCTGATCATTAATCCATTGCATGATATAGTTTAAAGACAATCTTCCAGGACATTTCTTGTTCAATACCTGAAATAGCTTTCTGGGTCCCGAAAATGCAGCAGCCTTTTTAGATTCAAAGTAGTAATGTTTAACCCTTCATTAATAGACCTTTCAATGTAACGCGTCGAAAAACTGAAAACATTTTAGTATGTGTTCATGACCAGGGGCGAAACTAGGCGTACTCCTGTACGCCCATGCGTACAAATCAATCCTGTATTCTGAAGATCACCGAGCATTGACACCATGCTTCTTATTCGGCGAGCAGGTCGCCCGCAGTAATTTTTCCCCAAACCTTTTACTCTTTATTTCCCGTATCGGCCCTTCTGTGTCCTCTCCTGTTTTTGGTTGGGTACCTTCTGGGTGCCCTGCTGGTGTGGCTGGATTATGTGGGGAGCTGCGTTCTACCAAAGTCGCCTTGGATATTTGATTTTTGTTCTCATAAGCAACAAATTGGTGTACTTTCTCAAAGATCGTTGAAAGACATGCAAAGTTCTCATGGCATATTAATCAATTTATTGCTGCAGAAAATTGCTTTGCCGTACCGAAAAGGTAGAAAAAGATATAGAGTGTACAATGAATCTCAATGATATGCATTTATTTAAAAAACATCGCCAAAGCCTTGTTTAAGTTGTTGAGATGGTCAGCAAAACATTGCGATGAGTCATCAAGCACGTTCTATGCGAAGTTACATAATTGTTTAAGTCGTATATCTGTTAATGAATTTATTTTACCACAAAATATCTTAAATGAATCCTTTAATGTATATTTAACCCACATAATCTATGTTATACGCAACGATTTTTTTATTAAATCATAGGTCTACATTTCTGAAAGGAGATTTTAAAATACCTTCACATGTTATATAACGCGGCATAATTAGTGTTGCACTTTTCTCATATTCGGCAATAGAAAACGCTAAAAAATATTACTGTTATCAATTTTATCAAATTATGTTTTCTTACCCTTGTTAGTATTTCATGTAGAGACAGTAGCGGAAGTTAAACTGTCAGATATTTGCCGTCAAACATTTTATATTTTACTTCAAATAACTTGTCTCTAATGTATATGAGGCAATGTATATGAGGCAATTTCAGTAAACGTTTAGCAGCATGATTGTGCACAATATAAAATAACAACAACAGCCTATGCATACACGCTGGGAAGACGCCTTCCCAGAAACAAGGCAATGTTTGTAGCAGTGGTATATTTTTCAATGTTAAGATTTTTATGATATAAAAGAAGAATTGCAAATAAACAAAAGTATCGATTTACTAAACTTATCTCGTATAATAATAACATATCCGGAACATCAAAAAATTGCAAAAGAGCATAAATTTCTGGAACAACTGTTATAAAGATAGGGTAGTAAATGCCGAGTAGACAAGTTTGCATACCAAAGAAACAGACGTCTAGCTTTGTTTAATTTTAAATTTAAAATAAATTTTACTGAATACGGGAGATTTGTTGCTATAACATCAGTTTTAGAGTCGCAAAATAACAAATTTTTGCTGCAAAAAATCGATTATAAATATAAAAAAAGTTTTATGGTACATGTATAATGTAAAGAACTTGTTCATTTTACATATTTTAAAACTAATAAAATGAGTTTGAAATCATCACCAATATGTTGTCAATATAGCCTCTAGATAGTCACGAAATGCCAGGATATCGCATCCTCTTTCAAAAAATTTCTCGGGGGAACATGCCCCCGGACCCCCCTAGTTACGGAGTACATATCAAAATAGCTCAGTTATGCCCCTGATGACAACGAAGTACTTGTAGATTAAAATTTAAACATTGTTTAGTGGAGCGTATTTACATAGAGGAAAAGCATGCGTGAGATAAACTTTCATGGTTCATTTGCTAGATGTTTCATAATAAAATGATAAAAAATTTCAGTTTTTAAAAAAATGTGATAAGATGCGAACTTCCACATTGATATATTGTTTAACTGAACTATATACGCCTTATACACTTTGTTTAATAAAGATAACATTTGAAAAAAATTGTGATAAAATTAACTGTGTGACTTTCAGTAAACTTTATTTAATATCGCAATTTTTGTTTGTCTTTCATCTTACACTTTTACTGAACTTGAATATATGAAACAAAGTGAATGAGTTTAACAAAAACAATGTGACGCCTAATTAACTTACATGACATTTAAACAGTCATTTCAATTATAAGCTATTACTAACATCACTTGTTTATGTTCGCAAAAGTGACTGTAATATTCCACAAAACAGAAATATTCCCTATTTGTTTAGCACGTTAAATTCCACAAGATTTCTGTTTATCATCGAATATTTTTTCTTACACTTAAAAGAATAACAAAAGTGAACACAACCGTTGAACACCACTGCTGTTCAAGTCAATGATTTTTTGTTATTTACTTGTTCATGTTTTTTTTTATTAATTTATTAATATTTCTTAATGCAAACAATCTGAATACAAGAATGACATGAGAAAAACAGTGGGTTTGTGTTGCAATATTTTAGATTTCAATACTAATGATATTAAAAAATGATATGTCCTTACATTTTCAAGTGAAACAGTTAAAGGTATATATTACAGGAGAGCAATAAAGTTTGTCATGGTAACTAACTTCCTTTAAAATCATCATATCTTGCACAAAGTAAGTTTTAAATATGATAGCATACGTCAAGGATTTTTTTTAAATAAAAGTTTTGTTGTAAAAACAACTTACTGTTTGTCAAAAAACGGTGAAGTATTCGATTACCATGGATGCCTAACCTGTCAAACACATCTTCATAGTGTTACAAATTAATTTTATTTTGGGTGGAGATATCACTCAGTGGCAGCTTTATGTATTTCCTAATTGACACAGAAGAAACTTCGATTTATTAAATTGGATGTAAATGCAAATCATTAGAATACATTTGTTAAGTCTAACCTTAAAACATATCTCTATCGTCCACTATCTTCTTTAATACTGTTATATTTCTTTCATTTTAAAGTCTGCACAAGATTGAATGTGTATGGTGTTACTGCAATATACAGCAATAAGACCAGACTTTCAGGCATATTTTGTACCACCAGTGCCTTTTTACGTAATATTTTGTACTTTTTACTTTTTCTCTCTACAGAATGCTTTTTCATGTTTACATTTAATTCTTTATTTTTTTTAAATTGCACTTGAATATTCTTTTATATACCTATTTGAAACTACCATAATGTGCATGAAATATAGTTTATTAATAAATTAAAAAATACAACTTTGATTTACCAATAATACTGTTTGCAGATCACGTGCTACTCCATGTACTCCATGTAAATAATCGCATACTACATGTAGTACAGCTTAACAACGTTGAACAACAAACATATTATCGTATTTCAAAAATTGGATGATTGCCAATTTATAATGTGTGTATTAAATGCGGGTACAATACTGATATAACATAAGACGATAATCAATTATCAAGTTATGTTATTTTACGTTTCAATGTTTAGACTCGTTTCCTATTATATTATCGGTATCATGGATATAGTGGAAATTAAATGATTAATAAAAGTAAGTGTCACACTCTTTTTGAAATTTCAATTATTTAAGGATCGTCATGATTTATAAGGCTGTCATTCTTATTGTTTAAATACACTATTTCTGTCACTCCTTTTGCCCGCCCGCTTATGTCAAAAGGGAGAGAATCGGATAAATAATCCAGGGTTCGTTTATTCGGGTGAGGCGTACAGTTGAGTTCACACTAAACTTCCCAACCTTGTGCACTTCTAGTGCACTAGAGCTGAACTAGAAGTGCACACCGTGTGCACTTCTAGTGCACTAGACCATATGACCAGGCTGGCCAGGAAGGTGACACCTAAATGGTTTATTGGATGATTGTATATCAAGTGACAGGGGGTATCTGTTGTTAAGCTGCTGTAAGAAAAAAAAACTTTGGGAATATAGTTATGGCCTATATTCATGAATATAAATAAGTAAATTTTAACATTTTAGGTGCTTTAAATTAAAAAAAGAAATTTATTTATTGTAATCATATTTTTTATTACCAGTATTTTAACTGTAGACCTAAGTGTAAAATAATACCCCTTAAAATCAAATTTATAGAATTAATAAGGTTAAATTTAAATATGCTCGGTAATGGATAATTGCGTAAGTGTTTTTAAAGCTATTTTTAATGGCCATAATGATTTCAATTTGTCTAATGTACAAATAAGAAAATAAATGTGATAATTCTGGCCCAATTAATTTAGTTTGTAACAACATAAACTTTTTTTTCATAAGCTCAAACAAATCAAGGAAAGGTTTATATTTAAGCTAAAATATTATTTCTATAATATATAACTTAGAGACAATTCCTCATGTTCAATATTGAAAGAGTATGTATACATTGATTTTAAAACAATCAATATACTGTGATAATTTAGTATTCAACTGTGTAATGCTTGCATATAAATGATTAAAATATTATCCATAAAATAAATAAATTTGATAACTTTATTCATGATTTCAATATTAAAAATTTAATGTATAAAGGGGATACTTTTATTGAAGAGGAAAATCTCAAGTCATGCTGTGTGTTGGTATTTTCTGAGAGGGACTGTTTTCATTATACCACTCTCCTGCTGATAAGAGGGCCTCAGGGTAAACAACAAAGTACAGTCAATTTTGCAGATTATAAGTATGCATTGAAATTCCCTGGTTTTCTCAAAATGCATGTTAGACATAAGCCTGGGATTCATCAGGCGTTGGCACTCAGGCTAGTTAGTCATATAGATAAATGACCATAATTTTTGTATAATCAAATATACAAAAAGAATCACAATGGCATAAATGCATATTAGATATTATTGTCTCTAAAGCGGAATTTTCTATATTTATCCAAAATTCTTGCCACTCTGCATAATAATATATAATTTAAGAGGCAATTCCTCATGTTCAAGATTGAAAGAGAATATTAAATCATTGATTTTAAAACAATCCATATACTGTGATATTATGTTTTTCAACCATGAAATGCTTGCATACTTTTTAAAGATATAAATAATTCAAAATTTTCAAAGAAATCATGGAGCTAAATATAAGTTTATATATCTGTGCATGAAATAAATAAAATTGATAACTTTATTTAAGATTTCTATATTAAAAATTTAATGTATAAAGGGAATGCTTTTATACAAGAGGACAGTCTCAAGTCTGTGTGTGTTTGCGTTTGTTTACCCTCGCCACCGGAAAGAGACCATATGGGCGAGCAAGTCTCAAGTCATGCTGTGTATTGGTATTTATACTAGTCCCCTGCTGATAAGAGGGCCTCAGGGTAAATAACAAAAATGCAGATGTATACAATATTTACATGTATTTAAAATTTCCTGTTTTTTTTTCTCCAAAATACATGTTAGACATCTAAGATAAATGACTATATTTTTTGTATAATCAAATGTAAAAACATAATAATAATGGCATAAACGCATGTTAGATATTATTGTCATTATTGTCTTTGAAGTGGAATTTTCTAATCTTATAAAAAAACTGGTTTAAAATCAATATCAGTGTTAACTATTCTGGAAAGACCTCATACCAATATTTATCCACATTTCTTGCAATTTTGCATTAAAATCATCTTTTAGTTTCTGAACTGGGAAATGTTAATTTTTTCTATCATAGATTTGACAAATTTACCTTGTCAGTTTTAATTAACACATTTAAAAAATAATATATTTTAAAGAAAATTTTTAAATACATGATTATATAACTTTTGCAACTTCTTTTTCACTTTAATGCAGATCTGTTTTTTGTTTTTTTTTTAAAAATAAAATACTAATACATTGTACCATACATGAGCAGAAAACAGTTACAGAAGATTGAAGTGTCAAAAGTCATGCTGTGTATTGGTGTTTTAATGTAGTGCCCTGCTGATAAGAGCGCCCCTCAGGGTAAATAACAAAAGGCAGATGATAAATATAAGTAGGCAATGTAAATTCTGTATTCTCTGGATGTTGGTGCAAATAAATTTCATTACAAGTAGTACAAAAAAAAGAAAACTGAAATATTTTTTGTATTTTATAATAAACTCATAAAAATAATCATATTGCATAATTATGTTACAATGCATGAAAAAAAAAAGAAAAAAGATTGGTGTCGTCTCAAAAAATGGAATTGAAAGATTTTCTAATCTTTTTGTTAATATCCACATGGAGCTAAATATAAGATATATTTGTGATATCCATGTCAGTTAAAGTATACTAGTGTCCCACAGGTACATATCAACATATCAATACTTAATCCACAAAATATCAATACTTAATATACCACCATTTAAATATTTATTTTTAAAATAACATATATCATTTCTATAAATCTTAGGTAAATCTCAGTTTGAGAAGGTTAGAGAGATTATAAATGAGATAAAATTGATAAATTGGTAATAATTTGCCCCCCCCCCCCCAAAAAAAAAAAAAAAAAACAACAACAAAAAACAAAAAAAAACTTTATTGCATTTCAGTTTTTCATATTTCATTACCAGATTATAATAAAATAGAATCATATTAAATGCCAATTAATTTTGTTTATTTATGCACTTATCAACATTAAAGTTATAATTATTTTATTTTACTTATTTTAACAATTAAGTTTTAAAATCAGTAAAATTAATGACTTTTGAAAAATTATTGTTCTAAATATTTACGCCATATTTTACAAAATCCAATATTCACAACTTCAAATTTATTATGAAAAACTATTATACATATATCAATATTTATCTATCTTTTTGTAAAAGTCATTGAAATAAAAGGTAACTGCTTTATACATATAATAGGTCTGGTGCACTACAAAGTGCACTTATGAAGTGCACTAGTAGTGCACATCTAGTGCACTCCTAGTGCACTTTGTGTAACCTTTAGTGTGAACTCAACTGTAGTTTCTCATTGGACATTGAGGTTAATGATCATTTGTCTTTCACCAATCATAAAGAAATCATGTGAGATTAATTGTCGGTCACTTGCGGAGAAATTGGTATTTAATGGTTAGTTATAAAGGAAAGTTTGCTAAGTAGATCAGCTATATATGGCACAAAAACATATGTTCAAGTCGGCGTTAAAATCCTGTAAAACAAACAAACAAACTCACTCCTTTAAGTCTTTATATCTCATGTGTAAGATTTTAGAGAATTAATGAATAAAATGCACATTATTTGTACAAGAAGGTTAAGATTTTACACAAAAGTAAATTGTGATCAATCTTAGTAGTAAGCTGTCTATATTACATCATATATATCAAGATATATTTGATACATGTATTATACCCCGGTCACATATTCACGGAATACGCCCACGGAAGAGACACGGATTAATTCCGACATCGTCCGTAGCTACCCGTACTGGTCAGTAGCTCTCCGTATTGTAACCGTAATCAATCGTAGTAGTCCTTGTATATCCGTAGCGATCCTTGACAGTTTTTGAACATGCACAAAAATTTGCTACGGAAAAATCAACCGTAGCGTATCCCTGCTAGTCCGTATTAAACCGTACTGATACGTACTGGTCCGTACGAAAACCGTACTAGTCCGTACTGATTCGTAGTCCACCAACTTGTCAAGGATTTCCACGGTTTGGTACGGAGAACTACGTTTTTGTACGGTTACCCTTCGTTTAAGCTACGGTTTTAATACGGATTAATACGGCATTGTCACGGAAAGCCACGATCGTTATACGTTGTACTACGGAGAAGCAGGGATTAGCACGGTCTTATACGGTTTATTGCGTTGCAACACGAAACGGTACGGAATGGTACGGTCCACCACTGTTTAGTACGGATGAATTATTTAGTATCATGTACTTTTTCACGGGTAAAAATACTACCTTCTTGTTAAAAACAGACATATTTGCGACAACATTCAATAAATGATAATTGCCATTTACTGGCTGCAACTTTATTGGCTCAGAATGCTTAGGCAGTGATCGAGCTGCTTGCTGACATGCATAGAGGTAAAAATATATATTAATATCGTACTACAATTCATAAGTAATGGAATAACATTTAATGTTACATATTTTACAAACATTGGAGCGTAAAATTGGAGTAAATATGTACAAAAACGAAGTATATCATTAGCCTCGGACGCTGGCCCTTGAGTGATAATAAGATTAATTAACAAGCTGTTTACATATTTTTAAAACATAAGCATTCACGATAATTAATGTAATTGTAAAATGAAATTAAAAGAGAAGCAGTATATTGATCAACATTTTTCATTAATGATTACTAGTCCATATCAAATCAGGTATGAAAAGACAGACGAGATGGTGGACTAGAGATGGCTTTTACGAAGACCGCTTCATATTTAGTATAAAGCTCTCATTGCCGAAGATCCATCTTTCTTCAAGAAATTCACTATAATCGGACCTGATGTGTCTCGGGGGTCGGACGCGATTAGGCCGAATCCTCTCCGACAAAATCATTGAACTCTGCAATTCGTTTTCTAGGTGTGTTTTTCTCTTGTGAGGCATTTTTAAAATGAGCATGCAAGAGGTTGCGGGCGGATGTATTAGGTCCGTATAGATCCGTGGCAATCCGTTCATCTCCGTATCAATTCGTTCTTCTCCGTATCAGACCGTACTTATTCGTACTAACCCGTGCTTATACCGTAGCAGACCGTAGTGTATCCGTAGTGCGTCCGTCCTGATTCGTGTCGCTCCGTATCAAACCGTGTCGGTCCGTAACAATCCGTGTCTCACCGGGGGCTTCTGGTGGTAAATCCGTCGGACTCTGTACTCATACCGTTATGTGGTCGTACTGGAACCGTAGCGGACTACGGAATTTCACATTTCCGTAGTAATCCGTGAACGATTAGACCGTAGCTCTTCCGTGGCATTATCCGTGAATATGTGACCGGGGCTTAAGGTTTGCATAAAATCATACTTCCTTATTCAAACACATATCGTATAGTTCATCAAATGTATTTAATGTCTACAGCATCTTGTCCCTAAAAATACCATAGTTTCAATTCTAAGCATTAAGTGCATGTCAAAGACAGTTTAGTTTTTCTTAATACTTTTATTTTAGTTATGTAGAATGTCGCGTATGGGGAAAATTGAGCATTCCAGGACCAAAACCTTATTTGTTTTAAAAAATGGAATAAAGAGATTTGTTGAAAGAAACCTCAAAAACCAACATCATGAACTCCTCAAGGAGATTTCTAAAAGTGCGAATGATCGAGGGATTTTCAGTTGTTCAGAATGTACAAAAGAGAACTTACTTACAGTACATTCAAAGGATTCGTGTCCGTCAAAAAAAAGATGTCTTTGCAAGAAGAAATCAATAGACTTGAGACCTTGTCCAAACGGAATATGTGACAAAGTTTACGAGAGGATCATCATGCTTCACGCCACATATTCTCCAAACATAAAGAACACTAATATTAGCCGTTGGTGTAAAGACTATATGGAACTAGCCAAGTGCTTTATGTTACATAACCCCGAGTCTATTGCTAAAACTGATTTGATGGACCTTTTACATATAATGGCCAACAATACTCCGATTAGAAAGAAACTAGGATTATTAAAATATAACGGATCGGAACCCGAGGAGGACTTCCTAAATGAGGTTTGATATCATATTTGTTCTTCAATCACTTGTGCAACTTATGTCTTTTTTGCATTGGAACAGTATAAACGTATTCCTGTATTTCTTTATAGTGTCGCTCTAACTGAATGATATACTTCCATCATGCATTACTTATAGCTTCTGTTTGGCCGAATGTGTGAATATATTGTACGAAAAGACCCCACTCTTAATCCCCGTTGTTTTATGAAATATTTATTTCTGCTTAAGCCGTTACTACAGTGCATGCATGGTTTTATACTTAACTACAAAATGATATATCAAATAAAAACTATAATATATTTTGTACAATTTCAGATAGCTATAAACGAGAAAAATATTTTTTTTTAAAAATGAGTTATATTAACAAATAAATGTCACTTTATGTCCAGATTTCTTTTTGCATTTACGATTATAGTATTGCTTTTTAACTCACCTGAACACATGTAACTTATCTGAGCTTTGGGATCGATAGTTGTCTGACGTTCTTGTTTGAAGTCATCGGTTCAAGAGAAAATGTCACTGAAACCATAAATTGAATTTGATGAAACTTGCTAAGCAATGAAGATTCTCTAGTTATTGTGTTTAAATGGTTCTTCTAGTGTAAGTCAAATAGAATAGTTATTAAAATCATCAAACCTCCATTTTACAAATGTTTATGGTAAAGAACCATCCGTTGGGGACATTTAAAAGGTCATGACACGTATTTGCCAGGCTCAGTTCCTTTTGTTTTTTATATATACATGTGGGGAAACATTTAAAATATACTTGTCTGAAACCCGACGGGTGAAAACTTTTGTCTAAAATGTCAATAGGGACCAACGTGTATTCCCAGGGACAATCATCAACCACTAGGCCATTTTCCTTTTAGTGAACGATAGTTTTGCTACTTAGGATGAAGGCATCTTTATTTATTGCATTGTCCTTTTACAGTTTTCATTTGTTGACTTTCTTTCAACTTGACTTGCCTGGAACTTTATGTCGATGACAATAGTGTACGTTCGCCAATATAAAAATTTATAAATATGTTTTTTTACTTTTGTCATAGAGCCTTTATTGCACGCGGCGGGTAGTAGATATTCGAAGTCCAGTCAGCAATGGGGAAAATTTTAGTCTTGCTTTTGTTTAGTTTAAGTTTTTTTTGTTTAAACAAAATTACACTATTTTCAGACTGTCTAATAAAATGATTTACTGGTATTCAACATATCACCGAGCTTTAAGGAATTAAAAAATTAACGTTAAACTTAAGTGATAGTGCCATGTTTTTATTTTTCATCTCTTTATTAATCTAATAGATAACGTGTCAGTGAGCCAGTCAATTACTTTATGAATTTATACTTAAGTTTCTACTTTTTCGCAACAATCCCGAGAAAAATTTATATTCAACTGTAATAGAGAACATTAAAATTATTGTCAGGGCTGATTTTGTACATAACATGTGACTGTTCACGTCATTTCTTTTTTTTTGGGGGGAGGGGGGGGGGGTCTTTGATGTGTTGCATCAACATTAAACTTATTTATTTGCTGATATGAAGAAAATTTAGTTGCAACAACAACGGTCATCAGAACTCTGTTATTTCTATTCAATCTTTCAGTATGTCTAACGATAGATGAATTTTACGTTGTAAACATATAAACATGATTTATATTTAGGTTATCCAGTGCTGCAAAAGAATTCGACGACAAGGCCAGGTTGATACAAAACTGTATCTTGAAACATATCACTATCAGATGATAATGCTATTGCAGGCTGTATCTGATAAAAACTCCAAAAAGGCTATTTCTACACTTACAAAGGTTTGTTGTTTGAAATTATTTTAAAGCAAAAGCTTGGAGTTTATAATAAAGATTTTAAAACGAATAGACAAAAACAATATTTTTATCATTTGAATAGTCTACATTGATATTTTTGTCAGTAATAAGGATGTGCATAGATGTATGTGTTTTAAAAGAAAGGTGTTTCGAGCGTAGTGGCCAATGTTTTAAAAATTACCATTTATTTTATTTTATTGCAGTACATTGTATATGATATACTGAACTTACATATTATTAAACGTATGAAAAATTTGCTTGTACTTTGCCTACTAGTTTGAAATTATAGTTATTATTTTAGGTCAGTTTCGTAGGGGAACTCAGTACTTTCGATTCAGAGTAGGGAATATAATTTCATTTATTCCAATTTTAATTAACTATCAGCGTGTGTAGCATTTAATAATCTAATAGAGCTACATACCTCCTGATAAGCCATAATATTTCACGAAAATTAAACTTTTGAAAAGTGTAGTAAGATTTTAAGAAAAGTAAAAATATTCAAAATTCAAGAAAAATGTTGTGTGCGAATAATGACTGATTTTTCAGAATTGCTCAACATATTTCTACTGCGTGAAGGGATATTTATATTAATACTGACCTCTGTTTTGGTAATTTACGTGGATTTTGTTTGAAATGTGTAAATAACTTTCTTTTTGGCTTGCAGCCACGGCTGCAAGCCATTTCATATGGAAAACTTGTTCCGGTTAGGTGGTTTCCTGCTTACATCTGTTGGTGCATGATTGAACGGGAAACCAGCTGCAATCGTGCCAATCGCAACCTTTCGGCCTTTTCCGTCACTCTTCGGATTAATGATAATAGCCGATGTAGTTCCGATTGCAATCGTGACAATTCGGGCGATTCCGTCATACTGCGGAATCAGACGAAGTAATATAACGGAAATCTAAGCTATTTTAGTTACTTCGGTAATCCCAGTTTGTTTATATAAATAGGATTTCTATTTTTACTTGATTACCGTAATAAATTATAAACGAAATTGTTCCGTTTCAATTGTTTTTCAAGACGCAAAAGTTAGTTTCTTTTGTAATTGTTTTTTGTCTGTATCAGTTTTATACAATAGAGAATGGTAGTAGTATTCCGTCTTCAAAGGGTGGTCTTGCATGATCGAGTTATATTTAGATCTACTGAACTGGTGAGGTAATCTAAAAATAGCCCATGCATATCATTAACCTTGCCACATAGCGCATCGTCTTTTTGTGATCGTGTAACATAGTTGATACATGCTTATTAATTAGTGCATTTACTTGTCTATAAAGCAAAGGAATGATTTCGCTGCGAAAAAGGGGGAAATGAAATGTGCACACTTGTTTTCCTTCAGTATCACGTTAGTATTTTTACGATTGATCATTTTCTTTATTAGTTTTATACAATAGAGATAAGAGAACTAAATAAACCCTTTATGATATACAAATACCGTAATTCAAAAAAAAAAATGTGATAATAAATTGAAACCAAAAAAAAAAAAAAAAAACAGTCTAAAGGGTTGGGATGAAGGCACAACTGTGCAAGCCTTTCCTTTTAAAAGGAAACTTTATTTTCACTTCACAACATTCTACTTTATAAAACATTTTCAACATTTTCATGAAAAGTATCATGAATTTGGAGGCATTTTGCTTTGAAGAAAACGAAAAGTTTTGTACATTTTGATCAAATTGACAAAGATGTTTAAGTAAATCCCACCAAATTTTTTATCTATTGTTTTAGTGTCAATTTTACATTCAAAATAAATATTTTTATCACACACCCGTGACGATTTTGCGACTCCGTGAAAAAAAGGTATTGCATGGCCGTGCATATATTTTGCGTGACGTTATTAGCGTTATACAAACATAGTGTAATGACGCGCTAAATGTTTGCGTTATACTATAGGTGCGTCAATGAAAAATTACTATTTTTTTTACTTAAAACGGTCCTTATTTTGGGAATGTGATATATATTGAATATTAAATTCGTGTAAGTTCATCAATGATTCTATTGAACTCGTTGAAAAAAAATATTATGCTCGCCATCTTTGAAAATGCAGATGACAGTATCCAATTAGATTTCATACAAAATCTCTCTAGAAAAGATCTGAGGAAAATTCAAACAACGTTTTCCATTAATGTCTGAGCAGACTCAATCAAACCGAGCCTGCAACATTTTCCATTTTGTTGTTTTTGGCTTTATTTAGGGATTCCGTTTCTCTCTATTTATTTATATCCATTTAAGATCTCAGCATAAGAAACAATATCCATTCTTAATTGAATCATAGAATTATTACAACTGATTAAGTTGAAAATGGCTCTACAGAACTGACATTTAGCTTTTGTGTTGTAGGAGCTTCAAAATATAAAAGAGACTGAGAGCGGGTTTAGCTTTAAACTAGCAGAAATGCCACAGAGCATGAGCAAAGAAGGTAATTTGCTTTTTTATGTAACAATATAATTCTAATTAGAGTATTATGTGTAACAAAAAAATATTTCATTGATAAATTCTATCAACATCATAAGAATTCATTACAGCTACACCTATAAAACAAAAAGAAAAGGAATATCTAGCCCTTAAAATTATACATTGAGAAACTTTGATTTCTATAGGTTATTTAAAACAAACATGAGTATTATGTCTATTTTAATTACCATTGAAGGGATGTTGTTATCCATTCCATATAACGAAAGGAAATACTTCAAATATGAAATTATGTTGCGCATACAAGTCATTAAGTTGTTAGATATATATTCTTCTTGTCCTCGTTTTACCTTTTATTTTCTATCCGATTTGCAGACTTTCTGAAACGCATTGAGAAGCATTTTGAAGACTATTGGATTGACGCAAAAAACGATTTTGAAAATGCAGATGACAGTATCCAATTAGATTTCATACAAAATGTGAGCATTTTAAAAGACCCAGAAAAAGTCATAGATACAGATCATATCCCTCGTCACATTTTAAAGGAAACCACCATGACGCAAGAAATTCTAATTGAAAATAAAAATCACACAGAGAACCTAGTTTTTTACAACTCAAGCCATGAAAAAGATTGGTTTTTGACAACATTTTAAGATGGAAATTCCAGTGTAATCAGATTAAAGAGTTTACAAACATACTGATTTTGTCTGAATTATATGCTAAAAAGCTGAAAGTTTCTATCTTGGAATTATGCACCATGGCATACAATGCTCTAGAATCTGAGAACGATTTTTTGGTAGTTGTCGACACATCAAACGAACTTATTGAGAGTTGTTTAAAACAGTTTGAAAACTGTAAAAAGAGGCATACTTTTGTGCGCCTAATTTCAATGACAAAGCTGTTAAAATACAGAAATCAAGACACACAAATTCTTTTACTTGGGGGAATAAAAGAACTAATTATAAGTGACAGTGAAAGGGTATATCTTTCAAAAAATCCAGAAAGTATAAAGTGCTGCTTGCATAGATGTTTCAGAAAGATAAAAGGCCGGACTTTAGAAACAATTACATTTAAGAACTTGGAATTTGAAGAGCAGCTGACTAAGATTAAGGTCCCGGCTAGAGATGGTTTGAAAATTATCAAACTGAAGGGGAGTAAAATGATCCCGGCTGCAAATTTTGAACAGCTTGAACTAAAAAACGTTTCATTCAAAAGCTCTGAGATCAAAACTCTCTGTGAGAATGTAAGGGGAATAAAATCGTTGTTCATTTCAGGAAATGAGAAACACATTTTTGAAAATATGAAAATAATTACATCATTTTGGTACTATTGTCCCACACTTGAAATGATTGAGACAGCAAAATGTACGATTGGTCAAAACAAGTTGTTCAGAATTAAAATTGAAAAGAATGAGATTGATGAATGCTGTAAATTTTCTTTCTCCAAGCACAGTAGTTCTTGTACGATAAATGAGTTAACATGTATGGTGCATCATGTGATCAACAGACAAATGCTATCGCAATTTACAAGAGACGATTTCGAAAACTCGAACGGGAAGGCAGAAAAGCAGTTCATAATGGATGCTATATGCTACCGTCTTCTGCAAAGACATGACAGTTACGTAAGTGTTTATCCGGCTAAATACAAAGGCGAGGGAGAAACAACTTTAGTTTGCTTAACAAAAGAAAACAATCAGAATGTTTTACTCCAAACTTTACCAGATCTTGAGCAAAGACGTGAATATGTAGGCTTCAAAACAGAGGAAAAAAATGTATATTCCTTCTCCGCGGCAAACGTTTCATGTCCACAAGAAGTATTTGATGATCAGCTCAAGAAGTATTATGTGAATCATTTTGATAACATAAATGAAGTCATTGCATTTCATGCGGAACGATTACTGAATGAACATAAAAACTTGATTTCCGTTTCTGTCAGTTTAGGAAAAGTAAGAAATGAATATGTGGATGTCACCTTAGGTCCGCATATTGTGTTGTATGTCAATGCAAAGTCTTACATACCATTTTTTGAAAAAGCGTTTCCCGAGGAATTAAAACACAACAATTATGTAAACATTGTCTATCCTGTGGATGTTCGGGAAGGATACTTCATCTCTATGGCGGATTCAGTATCAAATCGACGGGCTCAGGACAAACTAACAAAACTGGCGATGGGTTGTAGTATTGGAGCTGAAAACGGAAAGACCGGGGGAACAATGGGACCTCTGGTCGAATATAAAACTTCAAACAACCTTACATGCCTGGGCTTTTTGACTGCGTGTCATATATTTAGAAAACCGGAAGACGCTTGCCGTGCACTAAACACAATTGTTGTCCAACCATCAGACATAGATGAACTTGTGGATCTAAATGGTGTGATAAGGCAAACACCTAACAAAAAGTGTGGACAGATTGTCGCATGTAGGTACAGTGAATATGTAGATGCTGCCTTAGTCCGAATTGACGAGAGACATCCTACTGCAACTAATTTCATCTCACCAACGTACGACGATTTAAACAATGCTGGTATGTTAGTATACTTTGAAAAACATGTATATATATTTTAATGCCGTATACTTTTTATCTTAATTTCGCTATTTATATTGTGCAATTTATGAGAGCCAAATATAAGGTATAAATGGCTGACCGATTTTATTTATATCTTCTCTTACTTAAACACTGTGCCAAATTATAACATAATGTCATAACGTTAGAAATGCCATACCGAATCACCCTGATTTGAAGTTCAATCGTTTAATTTCTGTGCATGTATTATAAGGTGCATTAATTATTTTATAAGTAAAAGAAATATCTTACAATATGGAAAAGACGATAGAAGAATGTAAAGCCTAAAATTAAGTAACTCCAAATTTTGTGTATCTTTTTTGATCCGCTTGCTTTCCGCTCGACATAGCTGTCACAATGGCGGTGCGGTGTATGTACCTGCCTACGTCCGTCCGTCCCTCTGGATTATGCTTGTCCGAGTCGTAACTCTGTCATTAGTAGGCAGAACTTCAAGTTACTTAGACAAATGTGCACAATAATGAGATGTTGTGTCGCGTGTAAGAACCGTATAGTTGGGTCAATTGTCATGGTCATTCTTTAAGGTCAAATGCAAGAAAAATGGTCGCAAACAGCTTGTTCGCACCGTAACGCTATCACTAGCTGATGGAATTTCAAATAACCTGGCACAAATGTTCAATATAATGAGATAGCGTGTCGCGCGCAAGAACCACAAGACTAGGTCAAAGGCCAAAGTTATACTTTAAGGTCAAATACAAAACAATGTTCTCAAACAACTTGCCTATTCTCAGTAAGGTATCTCGTTTATTTTTTTCACGTCACAACAGTTTGATGATCGTTATGAAATTTCTGTAAACATATACTAGGGAGTAAATTGTTAGTTACATGAAAGAAATTCCAAATTTTGTGAGAGTGTGTTTTGCAAATAAAAGTCGACGTAATTATTTATGAAAAATCGTGATACTAGTATACCCTTTTTCTTTTACAGGATTTTCACCGTTTGGCAGTTTTGGTCTCCCGAAATATCAACATGGGAGGTCATTACATGAGTCACAACTCACTGTAAGAAATGGGAATGCTGATAAGAGAATAGTAAAATTTGGAAAGGTTACAGGCTTGCGCCGAGGAGACCTTATGCTCGATCAAACTGTCGTGCGTCTACGTAATTATACTCTAAAAGGTCATTGTCCCTCAAGCCAGCCTCTTAAAGTAGAGTTCCGCCATGAACTTAAACATCAGATGGCTGTTATGTCATCACCAGAGAGTTCTTTCTTTCAAAAAGGAGATTCTGGGTGCGGTGTGTTTCTAGCTGATAGCAATAATGATCTGTGGTGTATAGGTGTTGGAATAGGAATGCTAAGTGACTCCGTTACAATTGTCACACCTATTCATAAAATTTTAGAAGAACTTCAGTCGTGTGTTGGAATCAGTGAAATACGACTTAAAAGTTTTGAAGCAGAGGAAATGATTACATAAAAAAGACATTAGACTCTGTTAGTCGATAAAGGAAGATTTGTGTTGTGTCAATAAAAGATATTTATTGGCACGGGACCATAATGGTGGACATTTAAGGTTTATATGTTTGATAAAAATATTGAAGTGTACTGCTGGTACTAGATAATGCTAGACGTATTGTAGTGTGAGATAACTAAGCATACTACAATAAACGAAGTTTAGGGGTATATAGGAGTCAGCTTGTCGGTCGGTCGGTCCGCATAATGTAGAGACCTTGCTTGGTATTGCATTTGGACACCCAGGCGCCAAGGTCACAGTTACTTAAAATAGATTTTTTTTCCAGACAATAACAAGAGTAAAGAATGATATAATTATTGTAATCAGACTTGGTGTATATAAGCTTATATAAAGACCCCAGTGGTTGGTATTACATTTGAACCCCCTTGGGTCTAGGTCACCGTAACTAAAAATAGAAAATTGGTTTCCAGACAATAATTTGAGTTAGGGATGAGATATCGTCAACAAACTTGGTGTATAGCAAGTTTGTATGAAGACCACGGATCGTTTTGCATTTGGAGGACCGAGGTCAAGGTCAATGTCACCGTTACTAAAAATAGAAAAAAATGGTTTCCGGACAATAACAAGAGATGGAAATGAGATATTGTAATAAACTTGGTGTATAGCAAGCTTGTATAAAGACCCTGGTGGGTATTGCATTTGGACCCACGGGGTCGAGGTCAAGGTCACTGTTACTAAAAATAAAAAATGGTTTCCGAACAATAACTAGATTTAGGAATGAGATTTTGTAAACTTGGTGTATAGTAATTTTATATAAAGACCCCGGTGGGGATTGCAATTAATTGAAACAGGTGATACTTTATTTACTATAGGTTGAGTTCAAATTTTTCTTCAGACCACTTATTTTTCAAAAAGTCATAGTACATGGTGGGATATTAATCACCTTCAGTGATAGGTTCTAGTTCTAGTTTATGCACTTTCTATAATAAAAAATAACCATTTCCGGTCATTTTTATGGAATTGTTCGTGCATAAAACCGTCATACCTGTTGTATCATTATGCGGGTCGAGATACCAGCTTCCTTATTTACATTGCACATGTCCATCGGCTCTGTCCCGGTTGCCTGAAAGACATTGTGCATGTTCATCGACTCATCTCCAGCTCCAAAACATTGACTTGAACAGTGACTGTACATGCGCGCTATCGGAACTTCCAAAGACAGTTATGAGCAACCGTTCTATTTTTCTTACAGGCAATTGTATTTTTGAATTATTACACATCACTTTGAGCTAAAGTTAAATATTTTACGTCTTTATTTAAATAGTTGAAATAATGCAAGTAAATTTTGATGTCCAGCCATTAGGGACATTTATATCCCCAAATATTTGATATTTTTATGAATCGTAGGACTGACTCTTTTACTTCGAGGTTTGACAGTCTGTACGTGTTGTAGTAAATCTGCAGTATTCTTGATATATTGTTGCACATAAAAATCTAAGTCTTATTGCTATTACAATAAAAAAGATTTAACTGTTACCGATGGTAAAATCATTTGCGTTAAACTACGGCCTTTCAACCGGTGACATTTAATTTGGTCAACGCAATTTATCAACTAAAGAAAAACTTTGCGTCTTGTCTGAACTTAATCAGTCTACTTTTACCACTAGAGCTCATAATACAACACAGTGAACAACATAACATACCAGCCTTGGCTCGAATGATTCTGCTGCCCTCTAGTCACGGCTGGCGCGAGAACAAAAACATCAAGTTAACAACATCCCCTAATAAAAACCATAAATAAAAGCCTAATTATAAAACCAACCAATCATATATGCTCGCCCATATGGTTTCTTTCCGGTGGCGAGGATAAACAAACCCATACACACAACCACTCATCAGACATACAACAACAGCTCCCTTGTTCTCGCGTAGCAATATGAAAGATTCTAAGTGTCAGGTTTTTAATTTTTCCACCTGACAAACTTAGAGGTCATAGTGGTTATAATTATTATGAAATACAGCAAAACCAGCTTCATATTTGGAAAACTACTTATTCTTAGGATAATAAAGATTACGTTCTTTGTTCTTACATGTAAAATAGTAAGTATTTGTATATAGAAATAAAGGCATTTAAAGTCATTATACTATGTGGACCTGCGACGAAGTTTGTAGAGCACTCTCTTTTCTTTTAGACAACATTTATGTCAGGTTTGGTAATACCCTATTTAAACAGATCATAGGAATTCCTATGGGTTCTAATTGTGCACCCCTGGTCGCCGATTTGTTTTTATACTGCTATGAAAGAGACTTTATGTTGAGTCTCTCTCTGAAGATAAACAACAAAATGTTATAGTCGCATTTAATGATACTTCCAGATACCTTGATGATATTTTTAATTTAGATAATCCTTATTTTGTTCAACTGGTGTCTGACATTTATCCGCATGAACTACAACTTAATAAAACGAACTCTTAGTACATCATTTTTGGATCTTCATATAACTATCAACAACAATTCTATTCACACGAAAATCTATGATAAAATAGATGACTTTGACTTTTGTATAGTTAATTATCCACATTTGGATGGAGACGTACCCCATGCATTGCATGCAACATCTTACGGGGTTTATGTTTCTCAGTTGATTAGATTCGCTAGAGCTTGTAGCAACGTAAAGGATTTCAACGAGCGGAATATTTTTATTACCAGCAAGCTTCTAAAACAGGGCTACCGCTATCATAAATTACGGAAATATTTTACTAAATTTTACAAACGTAACTTTGATTTAATTTCTAAATTCAATAGTGATTTAAAAACTCTTCTGCGACAAGGGATTAGCCAGCCTGGTTTTTATGGCGATGTGATTTACAAACTTCGTAAGATTTTGGGTCATGGTAATTTTTCTGCTGTTTTTACTAAAATCATTAAACGTTTTATTAAAAGAGGTTATGACCCTACTATTTTAAGACATACTGCATGTTTAGTGTTCAACCCTTTTACAGTTGGGAACTACGCTTTCCTCTTTTGATTGCATCTGACGGACCAAGTGGGAGACTCTATGATTGATAGTTCATAAAGCCCTTTGGGACTGAAATGTCTTATTGTTCGTCTTCTGCCTTGCTTCGTCGGGCCCTTGTAGGTGATTTTCTTGTTGCTCTGTCTTCCTTTAGGACATTGAGTACTTTTGTTATGGTCATTGGGTTTACTTTTATATGTCTCTACATGATCATTTAAGTGTTTTACTTATTTAACCTTTTGTAACCATTACTATGTTAGAATTTCACTTGGCGGGGATTCATTTTATTTACACTGTCTCGTTTATAGGAACATGGTGGGTTAAGGTGAGGTTTGGTGCACCATTAACCGGTTTAAACTCCCCAGCAGTCATTATTATGCTGCTGACCGTTCCAAGGTGGCGCCCCACTGTGTTCCTCAGATGTATGTCTATGTTGTTTCATACTGTTTTGGTGACACTTTTTCTTGTGTCCCTTGTTGTTTTCTCGTCTACGGTAAGTATTTTTCCCCATTGCCTCTAGTTTTTATTTCTTTGATTACCCCCCCCCCCCCTTCCCCCTGTCTCATGTCCCTTCCCCTTTGTGGGCCTATTATTATTTTCTTTGAATTCCCTAATCAGTTACAAATTATTTATCATTTAATGATTAACCTGTCCGTGGTCTGTCTTTGTCCTGTCCTGTTTTTGTTTGGGGTCCGCCTGGGCTCCTTGCCATTGGTTCTTGTTGCTGGGTCATATGGGGGTTGCGTTCATTGAACGCCGCCTTTCCTTGTTGATCTTGTTTATCATATTTTGACTCAAGGTACTCCTTACTTGAATTCAGTTTAATCACTCTTATAATAAGTGGACTGCTTTTTAAATTTATCTTTTGACAGCTTATGCAGACTTCATAATCTCTAATTCCATTTTATGCAGTTTTGCCTGTTGATTTCTCGTTTAGGGCACACGCAATTCTTTACTTAGGGGCCACACGACGCTTTTCATAGATTGACTCTAACATGTCTCATTAAAGGTTCCGTGATAACAGTATGAACACATCTGCGGATGCTTCTGAATTCAAAATTTCACCATTACTATGTTAAAATGGCGCTAAGGGTCGTAGACAGTAAGTTGCACCTTCCAGTACTCTCCATGAACAGGCTCAATCAGGCCGACCCTGCACATTTTCAATGTTGCCATTTTGTATTTTAGGGATTCTATTTTTTTTCTATCCTATATTATCCTCCAGCCTCAAAGATGTCTTACAACATAGAATACAATGACTACTCCTCATAAACTACTGGTGCAATTTCATCCAAACTTTAACAGGAATAGTCAGTACCAAGTCTAGTTGTACAATTTTTTTTGGTAACGTTATGCCTTAAAATGATATCATGTTAACCTTAGTCAAAAACTGTTTAATAATAGTATATTGCTACAGCTTTCCAAAACATACTCATTTGCTATAAACATGAACTTTCTTTTGCATATTTAGTTCTGTTAGCAATTGGTATAATAATAGTGAATTAGTATTTTTATTACTTATCGTACAGATTGCATCCGATATTGGTGTAAACTATTAGTCATTCCACTATTAGTGCTGCAAATCAGCCCATTTTAGTAGCCTATTTAGAGGGGTAACTGGTCTATGTCAGCCAACAGCAAGTTTCATATACCAAAATGTTAGTCTGGATCTATAGTTTCTGGAATGGATATTCATTTGGCTCTACCCCGATGCGAAGCTAAGATATCCAAGATGGCGTCAAAGATGGCCGCCAAATCCCTAATATTCTAGTATATTTACGTTGGCTTATTTCCTTTTTTCAGTTTTGTAAAATCCAAATTGAAATTTTGCATAAAATTTCTTATTTTCAACTTACTCATGCTATAAATTTTTGACTTTATTTTTATTTTTTTTCTAGTTTTTCATCGCCTAATTTAAACGAAAAGAAAAAATATGTTGCAAAACTGGGTATGCTTTCTGGAATATGTGTAACTTATTAGTTTTATT